GTGAGCCCATTTTATTTCAAAACAAGACATTTTTTTCTCTCTTTTAAGGCAAACCGATAACATCCCATACAAACCTTTATAAATATATAACGTTACGCAACACGGTAAGAGTCACGTCCGCTTTTCTCGTAGTGAGCTTGGGCTGCCTGTGCTCCATCAAAACCGCCTTTTCATTTGCGCGGTTTTTTATAGCAAATTATCTGTTAGCCTGTACGCAAGAACTTGAACTGGCGTAGAGCTCCCCAGAACTTCAACCTAATGATGATTTTCAGCAGCGCGCTCAAAGACACAAGTCAAAATTCGTTGAAATCAGTAGCGCCAAGAACTGACGAGCGCTTACAACTGGGCCTAGATCGCAAATTCCTTCTGAACACGGGAAAAAAAAGAGCGTCCAATATACAGATTAATTCCTTTGGTGCTAGTTTAAAAGAAAAAAAAAGACAGTCGAATTTGAAATTGCTTGAATTTAATCCGCACTTAACTCCTCAGAATGTTGAGATTTAAAACTCCTGTTGCTCGTGAAACACGTATCACTTGGTCTCACATGATTATTTTATGTTTTTCCTCCGAAGTGCGATCTTTTAAGACTGGTGGGAAAACACCGTTGGCTAGGTTCTTCGAAAGAGCCATAATTCCAAAACAGGATGGTAAGTTACTGAATACTCGTGGTTACGACGCGCGCTTTAAGTAGAAATCTTTAATGCTTTAATGTATGCTGAATCAGTAGCCTCTATCAACTTATTTAATTAGGAAAAAGGCAGACTGTGTGCCCAAACAAAAGAATTAAAAATCTCAGCCACCTTTGTGTGCCTTCTGAATTCTATGGAAATCAGCCTAAGAAAACAAAATAAAAAGGTGCTTTTGTTTTGGGAAAGAATACCTAAGAAAATGAGCCCGACATTTCGTCCTTATTAATGAATGGAAGGTATCAATAGAGTTAGCCGTTAGCTGTAAAACGGCCAAAAACTTTAACCGTTAGGCGTAAAAACTGACGTTTTTTACCGTTAGCTGTAAAAACGTTAACCGTAGAAATCTTTCTTTACTCCAATGTGTCATTTTGGGTTAACTGATACGTAAGATGGCCAAAATTTTAACCTCTAGCCGGAAAAGCCAGCGCCCCATTGGGACCCTCTTAATTGAATAGGGGTTTATCCCAGACAAAAAGCAAAAGTGTTTTGTCATGCTCCACTCACTACCTAACGTTTTGTGTGTGTTTTATTCCTCCAGCAACGGAATACTGCCCTTGTTATTTTTGTGCCTGTGACTGGGCCGAAAAAGATCCGGATTGTGATTGTGATGCACCTCTCCCTGGCGAGGAATGAAACGCTTAAACAAGTGCTAAGAAAACTGAGCCCGACATTGCGTCCTTAATAAATGGAGGGTATGCTTGAAGAAGTGCCAAGGAAGCACATAAACATTTAGCAAAAAATCAGCATATAATCGTAATCATGTAATCGCTTTTATAAAATCAGTATCGCTAAAATAATAAACAGTGCACCACTGTCGAGGAATCGATGTTAATTATGTTTTTTTTTTTTTTTTTTTTTTTTTTTCATGTGTTACAAATCGTTTTCTTCAACTGCCCTTTCGTTACCTTTAAAAAAACCTCGGGTGGGGGGGCTGGGAATTGATTAATTCTTGCAGGGTATGTGCCGCTGACCTCTCAGAATCCCCACCTCATTGTAATCTATGCTGTGGCCAGTCATCAGTTTTGGGGCCACGTTAACAACTTATAAACAGCGCATTTTCCCATTTCTTAATCCCCGCCTATCATAGGTTTCGTACACCCAAGATCCCGAGAACGTTTTTCTAAAGGAAAGCCAATGGCTGCTGTCAAAAAACAATAAAAAGGGGATTGTTCCTTTGATTTGAATACACGTGCATGCATCATACATCACCTGTAGGTATACAACTGTTTGCAGAAAGGTTGTCGGAAAAAGCGCAAGCCCAACAAACACGAAAGACATTGTGAGTAGTCTTCAGGCCTTACGATTTCAGGCAAAACAGCACAGTAGAGAAGAGCCATAGCGGGTTTGGTGAAGTCTTTTTTGTTGCCAAGACTGACTTTAACTTCTAAACTTGATGAAAAGCGAAAAAACGAAGGAACTCAGTGACCTCACGAACGACGAAAACAAGAGCAAATTCGAAGTGGCGTAAAGAAGAAATGTTTACAAAGCAGTATTCTATTGTTTTATTCCTCTCATATTCGCACGTGCATATTGGTATTAATCCCCTGTTCATTAGTTCTTTTGTCAATATCAAATTGTTTCACTTATTAAAATTGATTCAATTTCCAGATTACCTTACGAGATTGTGGCGTGCATCTTTCCAACCACCTATCTGAAAACAGCTGTATATATTTAACATCTATTTTTACGATTTTTAAAAACGGATGTTTACGTATTTTGTATATAAATATAGAGGAAGGGGCACTGTTTTATTGCGCTCAAAATTCTCAAAGGTAGAGCCATACCTCGTACCCAGACCCTACCGTGTAACTTATAAACCTTTCATCGCTTGGCCGTGGAAGATCTGGGTAAGAGACTAGTTTAACCCACAGGAAGTGTATGTACGACAGAGCAGAGAATTGATATTTTGGGTCTTAGGAAGGAGAGTATTAGAGGAAAGGAAAAGCTAATGTTAATCTCTTCAGGTCAGAGGAAAAAAAGTGACGCGTTTAATTATTACTCAGAACGATAATTAAGGGCATGTATGGAAATGATCGAGTTAGTGTGAGAAGAAATCAAGGCAAAAATCGTCTATTTTGAAACTGGAATTTTTTTCACGTTGCTATGTTAGATCATATTACACTTATCAGTTACCACCATTATCTACATGATCCCAGATGACTCCAACGAACAAAATAGCTTCTTTTTTAGGGAAGAGCAATTTTCATTTGGGCGTCAAAAATACTCCAGGATTGCTTCGCGAGCTTTGGTTCAAAAGACGTTGCTCTGTGGTTGGTCCGGTTGGTTTAGAAAATCGCGACACCCAAATGAATTTGTAAGACTGGTACCGAGTATTATGGGGATGGCTACCAAGCCTAAGCGCGGTAGCCAAGCCTGAGTTCAGATAAGCTGATTTTGCGCAATAGGCCATTTTACAGTTGTGTACTTAGTTGCCAAGCCTTTGATTCAGAGTGAGGCTGAAGGTGACTTTGTTGCGATAGAGACCTTTATCTACTTAGCATGATAACAAAGTGATTTACATTTGAAAGGCAGCAAGGTTTGTATCATAACAAGGTCAACCCTAGCCTCACTCCCATTCAAAGGCTTGGCAACCATGCACACAACTGTAAAATGGACTCTTTGCTGTACACTTTTGTCCTGTTCTCCTAATCATTCTAATGGCTTTTCAAAGTATAAAGCATTTTTTATCTCATAGACTGGTTGCTGATAACAAGTCTCACATGCATAATCGTTTGTAACAACATTTTCTTTACCCAGTGGAGGCTTGCTGTAAAAATTAGATCAAACGAGAGAGACCTGACTGGTCGATCTATAGACTCTACAAGGTCTCATTTGATTTGATTCAAACACCCTGGCTTTATCCCAAGCTGGCCTGCTGAGAACAATCTGACTTGCCGATCTCTTAATAGGCTGGTTGCTGATAAAGAGTCTCACATTATCGTTTGTGTTTTTTGACCCAGTCCCCGACCGCGGTCGTCCCCCGCTATGCATTACGGGCATGCTACCGTGCCTCGTGAGTGAGCCAAACACCACAGGTAGTTTTTTCGGGGAAGAATAAGACACCCTGTTGTCGTCTTCAACTTCACTCTGCTGGCGACCATATCCATAAAAAGCGAAAGTTTTTGATCTGGGAGTGTTCCGTTGTAAGGCGTCCCCAGGAATCTCATTAATAACCGGCATACTTGCAAAACGATTGAAAGTTCCGTCCGCCACGGACTGGATTCGATTTCGCGGTGACACTTGGTCGGTTGAGAGCCGTTCAACTTCGATTCCCGCGACACTCCGCGCGCGGGCTCGGGCTACCCCCCGCGTGGGTCCACGCTCAGCTTCACCGAAGCCATTCTCCTCCCGTTTCACACCATAGTTAGTATACTTGGAGGAAAACGAAAATGAACTGCTTCTTGGTCTGACCGGTGGGGGGAAGGTTTTTAACAATTCTTGCACACTTTCCTCCAAATCCTCGTCGCTTCGTTCTTCATCGCTTAGGATCCCGGAATCTTGTTTGGCATGACTTATTCTAAGCTCTCCCTCTTCGTTGCTTATGACTTCAACTTTGGTTACGTAACCTCGAGCATGGGTAGGTTTGGGTTCGGGTGTGTCTTGTTGGTTCTCTAGCTCCCACTCCTCCCGCTCGCTCTTAAGCTCCTCTCGGAGACTGGAGATGCTCGAACGCATAGTCAAGAGTTGCTTGTGCATGTCTCTGTCTTGCAGCTGCATGGCCGCCTGAAAAATTTGATAAAGTGACTCATCAAAATGCAAAATTGTTTGAATTCTTTGAACAAAGTGGGTATATTTCCAAAGAAACAGTGGTGCTGCGTTTGAGGGGGATATATATATTTCCTTCGGGCGGCTGGTATGTTGGCTGATAATGACCGCGGCTGAGAGATTGTCCGAAAAATGAATATTTGGCCGAGAAGCGAAGCTTCGAGGGAAAATATGAAACTTTGAGGACAATCCCTCAGCCAAGGACAATATCAGCCGATATACGAGCAAGCCAGAACGGGGTTTATTTATTTTATAACACTTCCATTAAAAAAGCCAGTGGTGATCTGATGGCGAATGCGCGTGATTGAAGCAAGCAAGCAAAAAAAAAAGAAAGCCAGTTTGGTTTCCTTCCATGTAAATAGGAGAACTGAAAAGTTGAAACTCTTGTGTTGACTATGTTTGTTTTTCACGGAAAAAATCGGAGGACAAATATCGACGCGGATGGGGGTTATTGCGTGATAACTGTCCCCTAATTTTGCACCACGTGACGTAAAGTAACCAGTAAAATCGCGCCAAAATTAATGGTGGGTTATAACACAGGATAATTTTGTTTTATGAACTGAGTTAATAGTGTAACCATTGAGTGATAATTGCCACTATTGCCGCGAACGGTGACTAACCATGTAAATGCAAAACCTTTTATCCAACATTCTTCAAAAGGGCTCCGAGAAAACTCGCAGTAAATGTTAAAGCAACAACACCAAAAATCGAGACAAACTGAAGACATAGAGAGAGAGTTTAACTCGGTGGCCTCGAGGCATCGTTCGAAGATGCCGCCACCGCGCATGCACGACGGCCTCGCATCGAACAGCCGCAACACGCCGAGAGATTTGTGCCAGCTTGAAGAGTTTCTAAAGCTGTCGTTGGGAGCATGAGCCCCTCGTCAGAGCAAATGACGAAGGGCTAACGTGTTACTGTTTACGCGGCTGTAAGCCTTTGTTGGCTCCTGATTAACTAAGTATAACAACGTATGCTATTCCCATGTTAATGAACTAACACTCGAATCTAATGCGAATCAAAGACGGTGTTCTCAAAGTTCTAGAGAGGGATACTGAGGACTCAAATTCGGTCTTTTTGCATCATTTTGTTTATATTCTTATAGGTCACCGAGGCGCCGCCTGCTAACATTTTTATCTAACAATATGCACATTTACCCAAGTTTAAATTCAGCAAAATGCACGATATAAATTAATACCGCAGCCTCTTATTTTTACTTCTCTAATTTACAGCACATATAAATCTGACACCATCAACTTAATATAAATAGGTATGGTCAGGACCTGAATGTGGACAGAAGCCTTGGGAAAGCGAGCGAACTCAGTGTAATGTGGAAGTTACAGCAGTTTTCAATTAAGTGTAGAAAAACTAAAACTTATGTAATCACAAAAGCCAACCAGAGAGAAGGTTGACATGCTTATCAGCCAATGAGAACTCTGAGTAAAAACATGCAAACTGCCTCAAGCACGGGAAAATACGAATTTAGTTTTGCATTTGATTGGTTGAAAAGGTAGCGTGATTTTTCTAAACCAATCATGTTGCAAATTAAAGCAAAAACGAAGCCATCCTAAATTGCTTTCGACACGCAATTAAAAATTGCATCATCGCATTATTTCAATTGATTATTTACAAGCTGATTTAGTAATTAAAAGATTGAGAAATATATTCAAAGTACAGAACTTTTCCTCACTTCGTACCCGCTCAGCTAAACACGCAAAAACGTGGGGCTTTTTCTCTCATCGAGCTACTGAATGGTGTCAAATATCCGAAGGACTTTACTACCGGAAGCTGGAAAAGCTCTCTTTACAGTGAAACCTATATTAAACTGACACCCACGGGATTTGTAAATTGCATAATGACAGGCTTGACTTTTCGGTCTGTTAGTGGTCATTTCAGACGTCACTAACTGCTTTATTAAATTAAATGTTTAGCACCTTAATTCTTCTTCAGACTCTGAATGACGCGGATTGCTAAACGGAAATTGTATTGCAAATATTGTTGCAGACAAAGAGGGTGTATTTCGCTCATTCTAGTTTATGCATCAACATCCTTAAACGATGCGTTTTGGCGCTTTTAAGTCATTTCACATTTAAAAATGGGCACACTTAGAGGATAAGTGTTTTCCAAATCATGCTAAAATTCAAGAGAGATGTCCGCTGGACAGAAATATGCAGGGACAGAATCAACGACTAATTTAGTGTTCAAGTCACAAAGGATGGACTTTGATGATTTCAAAAGAAACTTTCTTGTTTGACGAAGTTCCAGCTTAGAGAAATTAAAGAAACTTGGAATGTGAAAATTGCACTAACACGTTTGATCGACTTGCACTTAATACTCTTACACTCTTTGACTCAGTCATCTATTCGATATTATAATAAAAAAAGTTTCTCTTGCGTGAGGTTGGTTTTAAACGCGTTTCGTGATGCAATATATCTCAACTTTACTGGGAATATCCACTGATATTCCCTGAGGGATATTTATCAATTCTCGGACTATGCGTCTACTTCGACTGAAGTATTTAAAAGTTGATTTAAGATAACAAAGCATGTAGCTTTGGTCACAGGCGGTGAGACAGACATGTTTGTTTAATAAAGTCCCTCCGAAAAATCAACTTCCTTTTCCACAGTAAGTTGTTTGCGTACGTATTATTCCGTAGACTGCAAAAAATATTGGAAGGATAATAAACAAGACAAGTGAGTTTTGGCTTGCAAATACGCTTGTATATTTGTTCTATTTCTCGAAGCTTCCAGTTTTCTCGAGCTTT